GCTCAGAGGAAATTAAAAATTACTTAATTTTTAACTTATTTTATTTTCAAGTGTTTTAGATTTTTCCATAGGGAGTTGCCATTTTTGTGGAGCGACGCAAATGGACCATAGAATGTGCAGTTCATAACTGGGAACACACCCAATAATGTGCTCATTAACCAGAAATCCTTCAGTCTGTCCCGTGGAAGTTGCTGCTAACCCTGCATTCCCAGCTCAGAAACCCCTGGGCCTGGGATATTCTTGGGAAGCGTGACTTCAGGGTGCAACTCGCATGTGGACGCGGTGTCTGGTGGACGTCTCCGTTACTAAGACACCGTGACATTTTCAGAAATCAGTGGGACATGCTGAGTCTGTATCCGGGCACTTTGTAAAGCTCAGATCCACGTTCTTTGCCTGCGAGTCGGGCTTGAGTGCACATGCCCGGCACACGATTCTCTGTGTTTTCTGAGCTTTCCAGCCCCCAAAGTGTCCCATAGGGGACCCCGACTGCCAGCCACTGCCCTGCCCACCTACACCCCACCGCCCACCTATGGCGGTTTCCTGCCCTAACCCCGGGAAGCAGCTTTTCAGATAGTAAATGTTTCCGAATAATAACTGCACTGAGCACACTATTCACCCAGGAACAGTAACTCAGCCCACAGGTCTGTTAGTGCTTTAAAAATCCAAGGAGGACTTCATGGCCCAGTTCTTCGTGTCTGTGTTAGTGGAATATAAGATCACACCTCTGTATGTAATTCAAGCATACAGGCCCTGGCCAGGCAGCTCAGCTGGTTAGAGCATCATCCTGATATGCCAAGGTTTTGGGTTCAGTCCCCGGTGAGGGCACATGTAAGCATGATCCAGGGAATGCATAATGAAGTGGAACCAGTAGATGCTTCTCTCTCTGTCTTTCTCTTCCCCTCTCTAAAATCAATAAAAAGGGGAATGGAGCCGAAACCGGTGTGGCTCAGTGCTTGAGCATTGATCTAGGAACCAGGAAGTCATAGTTCAATTCCTGGTCTGGGCACAGGCCCGAATTGTGGGTTCCATGCCCAGTGTGGGGCGTGCAGGAGGCAGCCGCTCCATGATTCTCTCATCATTGCTGTTTCTATCTCTCATTCTCCCTTCCTCTCTAACTTCAATAAAAAAATATATATTTAAGAAAAGAAAAATGGAAAGTATATGTATGTTTTATACGTTCCCCTTGTCAACAGTGGGTTAATATGAGAGGAGCATGGGTGTCCCTGCAGGTCCTCATCCTACAGGGTCTGTGTGCGGTGGCCCGTGACACTCAAAGTCACATCCATGGCTCGCATGGTAAGGGTTTTGGCGGCTCACAGTGACCAGAGGGTCCCCGATCCCGGTGGACAGGACGAGGTGGGCAGGATGGCGTGCGGGGCGGGGCCTGTGGGAAGTGACCTATGAGCTCGGAGGCCCAGCGGCCCTGTGGGACATGGGCAGCCACAGTGCCCATCCGCGGGGCTGGGCTTCTCCTCGGGTAGCCACGGGGCCAGGAAGCCGCCGGAACCCCGTTGCCTCTTTCATGGCGGAAAGTGGAGGCTCAGAGCCCTGTCGGAGGAAGCACGCTGGCGGGGAGGTGAGGGGAAGGTGCTGCGGCTCAGAAAGCCCACACCGTGAGGAGAAATGAGCGCCCGCAGCTCTGCCTGGCCCGGAGGTGCAAAAGCAATTTCTGAGGCAGAGAGACGCCTCCGGTCCGGGCTCGGCTATTGGCCATCACTCGGCTGTCCTGGCGCCACCGGGGCCCGTGCCCCTGCAGTCTTCACTGGGACACCCCCGTTCATCTCAGGCCGGCCAGGGACAGCCGCCCGCGGCTCCGTTTCAAATTGTGTTTTTCCCCTCCAGGCTTTTTATTGCTCTTTTAATCTGATCCAGATAACCGGGCATCTTTTCCTTTTTATGTCCTCGTTCTGAAAGGACGGGGTCTGACTTCGGGGCGCATTTCCAGGAGACTCAGCCTCCACGCTGACTCCCTGGTCCCGTCCATGCGCCTCGGGGCTGGCCGGGACGGACCGCACCTCACACGTTCACGTCCGTCAGCAGGTTCGCAGAGGCAGCGTTTCTGTCTGTCCCAGCAGGAACCCCATGAGAGTGTGACCTTTACACGAATGCTCTATGATTCTCACACATGCTCCAAAGGAAAGTCTGGGTTAGAAGTAGGGAATGTACTTTCAGAAAGGATTTAGACCTCCTACTGTGAAAGGACCAGTACGTAACCAATAGAACAGGCCCACGTTTCACCAACATTTTTTGGAGAAATTGGGAGGTTTGCTGGGAAGTATGTGCTGTGATTATAAAACTGTAGGCTACACTGGATTAAACTATTTTTTAAATGTGTTTTTATTGATTTTAGAGGAGAGGAAGGGAGAGGGAGAGAGAGATAGAAACATCAATAATTAGAATCATTGATAATTAGAATCGGCTGCCTCCTGCACACCCCCTACTGAGGATCCAACCTGCAACCCGGACATGTGCCCTGACCGAGAATTAAACCATGACCTCCTGGTTCATAGGTCAATGCTCAATCACTGAGCCACACTGGCTGGACCGGATTAAGTTTTTTTAAAAAGGTTTTGTGACTATAGGAATTCTGAGAGCCTTTGACCCTTAGTGAGGACTCTGTCATATATCGTGTTTGCCAATCCTGTTTGGCCATATTTATGCTAATAACCCTCATAACTACACTACATAGAACATTTGTTTTCCCAACATTGATATGTCTGGAAATTTTCACTTGTGTACATGGCCAGTACACCTTGGCACAGGACGTGTTTACTGGGTCATGTGTGAACTTGTGGTGAATACTGAATGAATATTTGGAAAGAGAGCTAATAAAACATATCTTGCTTTAGAACTTAAAATAACCTTTACCCTTGGCTTTACTTGTACATTTTTATTGCTAAATTATTTGAATACCACATACCAATACTATTATATTAATAGTGCATGAAATTCGTGCATTCAGAGCGGGGCGGGGGGAGGGTGTTAGTCCCTCAGCCCAGCCTGTGCCCTCTCATAGTCCAGGAGCCCTTGGGGATCTGACTGATGGTGGGGAGTGGACCTAAGCCAGCAGCTGGATATCCTTAGCATTGCCATACAGGCAGGAGAAGCTCCCGCCACCACCAATGCGCTCACCAGCCTTGAGTCTGGCTTCTGGCTGAGGGGCACACCCTCTGTGGGAGCACACTGACCACCAGGAGGCAGCTCCTGTGTTGAGCGTCTGCCCCTGGTGATCAGTGAGTGTCATAGCGACCAGTGATCCCACTGTTCAGTCTATTTGCATATTAGCCTTTTATTATATAGGATTACTGTAAATATTATTATATAATGATTAAACAGTTAAATGACTATGTTAAAACTGTATATTTTAAAATTATTTTAATGTTCTATAAACAGTGACAGGAATGATCACTTGGAAATGAATACCTAACCACATGCGCATCCACCTGTTTGGGCAGTGAGTGGCGTGTCTCGTGAGGATGTGGAATTCAGTCCAGTGGACATGACTGTGAGCCATAGTGTGCAGTGGGCATTGCTTGTGATCTCTTATCTGCAGCACAGAGATGTCAGTGTAGCGTGGGTGGAGCACAGTGGGTCTTAGATTCCTTGGGAACATCCCCCAAATACCTAGCTGGGCTCGCCTGTGACGTCTCGCTCACGGTGGCCCGGCTGTGGCGCCGGTGGTGGTGCTGAGTCTATAGTGACCCTAACAGTGTGTGGCTCAGGTGCTGCGTCCCTTCTTCCTACGTCAACTTCCTGTCCTTCTGCCCACCCTTCACTCCACGGCCACTGGCCGCACTGGGTCTGGGGGCTCTGCTTGCTTTGGACTCTGACTGCTCCGCTTCACAGCTGACAGGAGGGGGTGGGAACATGAAATACCGCCTTGGGGCCTCTGACCCACAAGCCCCGCTTTCTTCCCATTGAAGACCCTACACTGCAGCCCAGCACCCCCCTTCCCCGGGGTGTCCCCCGATCCCTGCTGCACGGGGACATCTCTCCTCAGAACACGGTGATCATGATAACGGGGTGATGAGGGGGAGCGTTGCCAGCCCTCTGGCCTGCTCTTGGGATATGAACATGAGCCAGGGCCTTGCATGTCCGTGTTTCGTCAGGTGAGCGCGTTGAAAATGTTTCTGCTGAAAACATGTTCACGGTGCGGGTAAAACCTATTCTCACACATTCCCATGGGGATGGGAACTGTAGGGCGCTCACAGCTCAGAGTGGCGCTGTCCTGCCAGCATCCATTCGTCATCCCCGGGGACACAGACTCCATTAAGAGTCCCAGGGCCTGAGGGAGTTGGAAGCCAAGTCTGGGGCCTTCCCAATGTTGGACATATAATTGAAACCCTCGTTAACAGTTAGAATGCCAGAGAGGGCTCACCCTCAGGATAGGGGAGGCTAGAGGGATGGATGGATGGATGGATCGAGATAAGCATAGACATAGATATAGAAACAAGTGTATTTAGATATAGGTATATATATGGATATGGTAGAGGTAAAGATAGAGAGATAGCGAGAGCTAGATAGAGATAGAGATAGATATAATTATAGACATATACAGAGTCATAGAAATAGAGACATAGACATAGACACATAGACATTGACATAGACACATAGACATAGACACATAGACATAGACACATAGACATAGAAACATAGACAAAGACATAGAGACATAGACATAGAGACATAGAGACATAGACATAAAGAAATAGACACAGACATAGAGACATAGACATATAGACATAGACATAAAGACATAGACATAGACATAGACATAGACATAGACATAGACATAGACATAGACATAGACATAGACACATAGGCATAGGCATAGGCATAAGCATGGGCATAGGCATGGACTTAGATTCTGCACTCTTCCATCTTTTCTGTGTTCCTGCTTGGACAGGTGGCTCCCAGTACCAGCCCAGGGGGCCCTTCATGCCCACACACGTGCAAGCCACCTCTTCAGTCACATGACGTGTTGCTGTCTCCTCTTCTAGCCTCGGTAGCATCCACCTGCAACGACCCGGGGATGCCTCAGAACGGCACCCGCTACGGGGACAGCCGGGAGCCGGGCGACACCGTCACCTTCCAGTGCGACCCCGGCTACCAGCTGCAGGGATCCGCCAGCACCACCTGCGTGCAGCTCAACAACCGCTTCTTCTGGCAGCCCGACCCGCCCACCTGCACAGGTACCGGGCCCGGGCGCGCGTCCGGAAGGGGGACGCGGCCTCGGTAAACTTACCGGGAAACGGGGCCTCAGTAAACACGCTGGGAAATGGATCATATCTTCAGAGACATTTCTTTTCTTTAAATGTGCTTCTATGGATGTCCGAGAGGAAGGGAGAGGGAGCGAGAGAGAAACGTCAATGAGGAGAGAAAAGCATGGGTCAGCTGCCTCCTGCACACCCCCTTCTGGGGATGGAGCCTGCAACCCTGACTGGGAGTTGAACCATGACCTCCTGGTTCATAGGTCAATGCTCAACCACTGAGCCACACCATCAGGGCCAGCAATATTTCTTAAGGGTTTCTCTCCATCTGCTGGTGCTCTGACCATTCAATGTCAATTTCATTGCAAGCCTTTAAACTGTATTTTATTAGGTGAGATCCAGGGAGTAGTCTGCTTAATATAGAGTAATTGACATTCATCTACCACCTCTTATCCTGGACACATCTTGTAAAGATAAGAATTAATTAAATTACTATAATCTAAAATTCTGGGTGGCTAAAATTTCATAACCCTCCTATTGCTGTTCTCATTTTTTTTAATATAGAAACTTGCCCGTGAGCAAAACCGACTAGATAGAAAGTACTTTCTCTTTTGAAGTGGTTTTATATAGTCTTGCTACGTTTTAATCGAGTTCTGAAAACTGGAAATTCTCCTGCTCTTGTCACAATGAAGATGCAAGGAGAGCGTGGTCTCTGAGCTGCCTTGGAATTGTGGGAGTTCGGCCTTATTAGCATGGAAATGGGTTTTGCAGACTTTAATTTGAATAACAATCCAAGATGTTCTATCGCAAATATGGCTTTAAGGTAATGCATGTTTTTATAGAAAATAGCAATCCCATGTAGACTGTCCCTCCATTCAGTTCAACATTTTACCACAAATACCTACTCAGATGATTTCAACTTAATTTTAAACAGAAATGCTACTGAACTTTATTATTCCAGTGAACTGTCACAGTTCAATTTGAACTTCTTTACCATCGGTTTCCAATCTGTGCCCTTTAATTAATCTGTGAAGGGAGACCGTGATCATGGAACGAGAGGCAGAGGGCTGTCCTGCCAAGCCCGTCACCAGGAGAATCCGCAGATTTCTACCTCTTTCTTTTTCTTTCCTTTCTGCACTGGGAAATGCATGATTTTTAAAAAAATATATATTTTATTGATTTTGTACAGAGAGGAAGGGAGAGAGATAGAGAGTTAGAAATATCATTGAGAGAGAGCCATCGACCAGCTGCCTCTTGCACACCCCCTACTGGGGATATGCCCGCAACCAAGGTACATGCCCTTGACCAGAATCGAACCCGGGTCCCTTCAGTCCCCAAGCCTACGCTCTATCCATTGAGCTAACCCGGTTTCGGCAGGAAATGCATGAATTTTTAAAAAAACATGTCTGTATTGATTTCAGAGAGGAAGGGAGAAGGGGAAAGAGATAGAAACCTCAGTGATGAGAGAGAAGCATGGATCGGCTGCACACCCCGCACTGGGGATCAAGCTCACAACCTGGGCTCGCGCCCTCACTGAGAATCCACCCCGTGGCCTCCTGGGTCATAGGTCAGTGCTCAACCACTGAGCCACACTGGCCGAGCCCTGCCTGTTTCTTTTTAGAAGCGGAGTAATCACCTATAAACGCCGCCCCCATTTAAGACCGCTGTCCTGCTTCCAGTGAGGAACACACCTCTGCTCCCGTTCTGCAGGCTGCCCGCTCCCGGGAGGGGCCTCCCCGAGCCAGGTGGCCAGCCGTTAGGCTCCGTGAGGCCGCTGCTCATTGCCGTTCACTTAGACACGTCACTGAGCACCTGAGCTCAGTCATCGGGCTGTGGCCCGGGCCGGCTCCTCCCTGAGCTCCTGCTCTGGCCCGGGGCTCCGTCACCCGCCCTCAGCAGAGCCCAGGTGGCCCTCCATCCGCCGAGGGTCCGCCGCAGGGACACGCTCCGGCCGCCGCGCCAGCTGCGTGTCCAGCACGTTGGCGAGCAGGCCCGCTGCTCACCTTGGGGTTCGGTCCCGGGAAAAGGGACACGTGGGAATAAGTGGCCGCGCCCTCTCTGTGGCCTTGTAAGCGTTGTCCCTGGACACGTGGCATGTGCCCTGTGGGGACCTTCATCAGGGCTCCGTGACCCCGGCTCGGCACTCGGCACGTCCTGTGTGCTGGTCCCGGACTGTTCCCGTTCCCGGAGCTGTGTCCTCAGGTGAAAACACGTGCTTATTGCCAAAACGTTAGGGCCTGCAGCTAAGAAAAAGGCGGGGGAGCCTGGTGTTTTTACATGAACGTGCATAAGCCATCTCCGTCACTGCTTCCTGTGGCTGACCCGCATGTAGCTGCCTTACGTGGTCGCGTCCAGCTGGATCACGGTGTCCATAACCACCCTTTCCTCCACGCCCGGAGTGCTGGGGTCACACTGGGTTTGCTCCGGAGAGTGTGGGCGCCGCCCCGTATGGGGGGCCCGGGGTGGACCCACTCACCTTCCTCGCTGGGCGGGTGCCCCACAGTCTTCCCCCGCGTGGAGGTGGCCTCAGGGACCCTCCTGCTGCAGAACCCGTGATGCCCACAGCCGTGTCTGCAGTCCTATGAGCAATGCGTGTCCGCAGTCCATGTCCACAGTCCTATGAGCGATGCGTGTCCGCAGTCCGTGTCCGCAGTCCTATGAGCTATGTGTGTCCACAGTCCGTGTCCGCAGTCCTATGAGCGATGCGTGTCCGCAGTCCCGTGTATGTCTGGGGCTTTCACATTTTTTTGAAAACTTGGGAAGGACGCAGCAGTGAGCGCTACCCTCAGCCACCTGTGAGAGCAACTTCCTGGACCACAAGGAAAACACCGTGTGTGGCATTTCTCACCCTCATCCTTTCAGATGGCGGAGCACGAGGTCTCCAGGAGTCTGGAGCAGCGTTTGTTTTCAGTTCCCTGTGAATTCCCTGTGAATTCCCTGTGAATTCCCCGTGAATGCGAGGGCGCTCTGCCCCATCCCGCATGCCCTGCTCTCAGGGTGTGAGGTTCCTGCCTCCCAGCGGGCCCAGAGCCCATCCCCTGCATCACTGCCCTCGCCTCCCGCGCTGGTCTTCTCTCTCCTTATGGAGCGCCTCAGCCTCCGCTCCGTGGCACCCAGTTTTCCTTCTCCTGTGCTCGGGTGCCTGCTCTGTCACCCCCCAGGACGCCCGCCTGGAGGCGCCGCCTTCCGGCATCTCCGGCTGCTCAGTCTCGGGGCGCACAGGCCTTGCCTTGCCGCCGTGAGTGTGTGACCGGCAGGCACAGGAGTCAGGGCGTCCCCTACATACTGACCGAGCGTCCTTCTCCCTTCTCCTCGGTGGCAGCCACCTGCGGCGGAAACCTGACCGGCCCGGCGGGCGTCATCCTGTCCCCCAACTACCCGCAGCCGTACCCCCCCGGGAAGGAGTGTGACTGGAGAGTGAAGGTGAACCCCGACTTTGTCATCGCCTTGATCTTCAAAAGGTACCTCTCCCGTTGAACACCTCTTGTTATTGTTATTCTGTTTATTTATATTTATGTATTTATTCTGTTATTCCTCACCCAAAGACATTTTTCCATTAATTTTGAGAGTAAAAGGGAGAGAGGGAGGCAGAGAGAAACAATGATGTGAGAGAGACACCTCAGTCGGCTGCCTTCTGCTCGACTCCCGCGGGGCATTGAGCCCACAACCCGGGCCTGTGCCCTGACGGGACTGAATCCCTGACCCCTGACCCCTGGGCTGACGCCCAGGCCCTGAGCCCCTCAGCCGGCATGGCCCAGCCCTTGAGCCCTCATGTCAGTCCCAGGTCCGGGTGCAGAGGGCAGTCTGTCCCTGAGCCCGTGCTCTGACGGCCACGCTAAGGGTGCTGGGTACATATGAGCTAAGGATGCTGGGTACCTGTGACAGCTAAGGGTGCTGGGTACCTATGACAGCTCAGGGTGCTGGGTACCTATGACAGCTCAGGGTGCTCGGTACCTATGAGCTAAGGGTGCTGGGTACATATGAGCTAAGGGTGCTGGGTACCTATGACAGCTCAGGGTGCTGGGTACCTATGACAGCTCAGGGTGCTCGGTACCTATGAGCTAAGGGTGCTGGGTACATATGAGCTAAGGGTGCTGGGTACCTATGACAGCTAAGGGCGCTGGGTACCTATGACAGCTCAGGGCGCTGGGTACCTATGACAGCTAAGGGTGCTGGGTACCTATGACAGCTCAGGGTGCTGGGTACCTATGACAGCTCAGGGTGCTGGGTACCTATGACAGCTAAGGGTGCTGGGTACCTATGACAGCTAAGGGCGCTGGGTACCTATGACAGCTAAGGGTGCTGGGTACCTATGACAGCCAAGGGTGCTGGGTACCTATGACAGTTAAGGGTGCTGGGTACCTATGACAGCTAAGGATGCTGGGTACCTATGACATTTAAGGGTGCTGGGTACATATGACAGCTAAGGGTGCTGGGTACATATGACAGCTAAGGGTGCTGGGTACATATGACAGCTCAGGGTGCTGGGTACCTGTGACAGCTCAGGGTGCTGGGTACATATGACAGCTCAGGGTGCTGGGTACCTATGACAGCCGCGTGAATACGATTGCTTCTGTGACCATCGCTGTCTGTCATCCTATTCCTGTCTTGACGTTTTGATTCCATTTCCCTTCTGGGTCGTTCTAATGGGTAAGTCCCACGATGACAGAGCCCCTGTGCGGGAGAGGCCTGGGGCGGTCACCTGAGGGTCTTCCCTCTCATCAGCTTCCACATGGAGCCCAGCTACGACTTCCTGCACGTGTACGAGGGCGAGGACTCCAACAGCCCGCTCATCGGCAGCTTCCAGGGCTCGCAGGCCCCTGAGCGCATCGAGAGCAGCGGCAACAGCCTCTTCCTGGCCTTCCGCAGCGACGCCTCCGTGGGCCTGTCCGGCTTCGCCATCGAGTTCAAAGGTACCGCCCAGCGCCCAGCGCCCAGCCGCCGCCCCAGGCCGGCTCTGCTCCGCTCACTCCTGCAGGAAGAGGGCCGGAGGCAACCGATCCACGTGTCTCCCACACCCGTGTCTCTGTCTTTCCCTCTCTCTCCAGCTCCCTAAAGGCAGTGGGGAGTATCCGAGGGTGAGGAGGAGAGAGAGAGAGAGAGAGAGAGAGAGAGAGAGAGAGAGAGAGAGAGAGAGAGAGAGAGAGAAATGGAAGGAGGGAGGGAGGAAGGAGGGAAGGACGGGAGGGGAGGGGAGGAGGGAAGGGAGGAAGGGAGAGGAGAATTAAGAAGGAAGCCCATAGACGCGTACAGCTGAGTGGTGGCTGCCAGCGGGAAGGGCTGGGGAGATGCGAGGTGAAGGGTTAAGTGGTGATGGAGGGAGACCTGACTTGGGAAGTGAACACACAATACAGTACACAGATGGCGTGTGTAGGTTGTACCCCTGGAGCCTATATGACTGTATTAGCCAGTGTCACCCCAGTACATTCGATGCTCCTGAGGGACGTGAAGGGACCGGGTCCCCCAGGAAGCCAGAGCCGCTCTCCCCAGGGAGCTGGGGTGACGGAGTGCCGTCGGGTGAGCTTCGTTTTCCCAGGATCCCTTTCTGTGGCTCAGCCCTGAGGTCTGTGGGTCACGGGAGGATAGATGATAGAAATAAAGCGCTGCCTCTTTTTAAGCAAGAATAAGTAATGTCGTAACAATCGGCAGAAAAATGTAGTTTGAAAACTGAGAAATATAACTTGATTGAAAGGGTTTTTCTACAATATTTAGTTATTAACTAGATAATTAATAACTCGATCATCTTTCCTAGTATATGTAATTATTAACTTGATAATTAATTAAAAACTTGGTCCTTAATCAGTAAGTATTTTTTGAGCATTTCTCATATGCTGGGCTCTAGTCTAGGCACTAAAAACAAACAAGCAAACAATCAGCCAGGCAGGAAAACACACAGGAACATTAGGGCCTGCCCTCACGGGGTCACCCCCCCTCACGGGGTCACCCCCCTCACGGGGTCACCCCCCCTCACGGGGTCACCCCCCTCACAGGTCGCCCCCCTCACAGGGTCACCCCCCTCACGGGTCACCCCATTTCTCCTGCAGAGAAGCCGCGGGAAGCCTGCTTTGACCCTGGGAACATAATGAATGGGACCCGAGTCGGGACGGACTTCAAGCTGGGCTCCTCCGTGACCTTCCAGTGTGACTCCGGCTACAAGATCGTGGAGCCCGCGTCCATCACGTGTGTGATCGGAGCGGACGGGAAGCCGGCCTGGGACCAGGCCCTGCCCACCTGCAGCGGTGCGTGTGTGTGCGACCAGCTCCCCTCACCTCCTGCAGGTCCCCCAGCACTGCCTGTCCTGCCCCCACCCCCCAACCTCACCTCCTGCAGGTCCCCCCAGCACTGCCTCTCCTGCCCCCTCTCCCCCCTCACCTCCTGCAGGTCCCCCAGCACTACCTGTCCTGCCCCCACCCCCAACCTCACCTCCTGCAGGTCCCCCCAGCACTGCCTCTCCTGCCCCCTCTCTCCCCTCACCTCCTGCAGGTCCCCCCAGCACTGCCTGTCCTGCCCCCCGCACCCCAATATCACCTCCTGCAGGTCCCCCCAGCACTGCCTCTCCTGCCCCCTCTCCCCCCTCACCTCCTGCAGGCCCCGCTCAGTAGCCAAGAGCCTCCCAGCACTACCCCCTTGTTTGCAGTGGGGACTGCTTGCTGGCAGAGCTAAGGAGGAAAATGCAGGTGACCGTCCTCCACCCTTGAATCAGTCAGGGCCTCAGCCATCCCCCAGCACCCTGAGGGGCTGTGTCTCTCGCTCAGAGAGTTCAGCACTTTTCCTCCCACTTTGTGTGTCTGATCCACACACAGGCACCGGTGAGCAGTCTCAGTGAGCTCTCTGTTTCCTTCCCTTTCTCTCTCCAGTTATACATATTCAATACACATCGATGGCACATGCACACATGTACCATTACCACCAATGGGTCCCCCCCCAATTCAGTCGTGCAGAAGTGAAATTGGTAAAATCACCGATTGAAGGTCAGACCCACCTTTGAGAACAGACAAGCGACAGAAGCCAGAGCTTTGCCCCATCTCCTGCGTTGCGAAGGGCCTTTGGGACATTATTCACCTCGAGTTATTAACAAAGGGTCTAAAACTCCCGCTCGCTTCTCCATTTATTGTTGTTATATTTTATAGTTGAAATTTTGAAAATTACATTTTCTGAAATTACTCATGGACACAGGTATAAAGGGAAACAAACATCCATTGTATGTTTAAATCTAGATTGAATATGTATATATCACATATAAATACACATATATGTATATGTAAAGAGTAGTATACACACATGCAATGTAGATTGATCTAAGACTTCTGTGGACTTGTTGGCACTAAGTAGTGTGCGGTTTTTGTAGCAAACCCTGGTTGTGAGTTATGAGGGCCCGTTATGAGCCAGCACTGGTGGTCTAGTTCATGGAGAATGCTGACCCACAGTGGAGTTAAGTTGTGTTGACTGCATCAGGAGATTTACAAAGATAAAGCAGGCTCATTTTAGTCCTTTCTCAGGTTTATTCATTACTGAAAATAAGGATAAACACGTACACTCACACACACTCACATACTCACATAGACACACACACTAACATAGACACATACTCTCACACACACACACTCGCACACACTCAGACACACACTCACATAGACAAACACTCACATAGACACATACTCTCACACACATACACTCACACACATAGATACACACACACACACACACATACTCACATATACCCTAAGACACACACACTCATAAACTCACACTCACACAAAGACACCCCGACACACACTCACATAGACACACACTAACATAGATACACATACTCTCACACACACTCACAAGCTCAGACACACAGATACCCAGACACACACAGCTCTGTCTATAAGAAACACCCACCGTCAGATTGCCCCTAGCTTTCCAGGTTTTAGTTGCTTCAGCTTTAAATCCATCTTTTTGAGAGAACCCACACACATTAGTAACTCTTGTTGCTCTTGAACTGAATCTGAGTTACTAAAGGTTGAAAAAAAACACAAAAACTAGAAATAAAACTTTTTTCTTTGATTTTTATAGTAATGTAAAAACGGGGGGAAAGCACCTGAAATAACCCATGTATCTCTGAGTACAGCGGCTGGTGAGAGGTTAAATAGCCCGTCTGTCTGCATGGAGCCGTTATTGTTATCACCTGAGCTGTTTGCATGATTATTTAGCTCGTCTGAGAAAGGCTTAAATGGCATTGTCTCCCTGTGAAGTGAGCGCACTTCCACTCTAAGCTGTGAAGATGTTCCTTTCCTGGCTTCTGAGCGAAGGGAAGTGCGCTGTGGACAGGAACACCCTGGACGGTTAGGGGACACCCTCGCCCTCCCTGGCGGGGGCCGTGCCCCCAGCCTGTCCAGCGGCGTCCTCCACGTGTGTAACTCTGGCCGCTTTCCCTTCCAGCTCCCTGCGGCGGCCAGTCCACGGGATCTGAAGGTGTGGTGCTGTCCCCCAACTACCCCCAGAACTACACGGCCGGCCAGACGTGTCTCTACTCCATAACGGTGCCCAAGGAGTTCGGTGAGAGCGTCTGTACCTTTAACCCCTCGGTGTTCATAGTCCCCGTGTCCATCTTGTGTAACCGAGTGCACACACACACACACTCACACAGGCATACATGCACACGTGCACACACACTCACTCACACAGGCATACATACACACATGTGCACACACACCCCCACTCACACAGGCATGCATGCACACATGTGCACACACTCACACAGACATGCATGCACACATGTGCGTGCACACTCACTCACACAGGCATATATGGACACATGTGCACACACACAGGCATACATGCACACATGTGCACACACACTCACTCACACAGGCATACATGCACATATGTGCAAACACCCCCACTCACACAGGCATGCATGCACACATGTGCACACACTCACTCACACAGGCATACATGCACACATGTGTGCACACACTCACTCACACAGGCATACATGTGCACACACTCACTCACATAGGCATACATGTGCACGCACTCACAGAGACATACATGTACACATGTGCACAAGGCATACATGCACTGTGCATATACACACTCACACAGGCATACATGCACATGTGCGCACACACCTGTGCGAGCAGGCAGATTTGCCGTCGATCACCTTATCCTTTCATTAGAGCTGTGACATGTGCGTCCAGCACACGCACCTCCGTTTACTGCCCACCACGCTGAGGAACGGTGTTAGCTTCGCCCGGACACATGCGCCGGGTCTAGTTGCTCACTTTTGCCAGCCGGCGCTCAGTGGCGCGTCATTGTCAGGAAGGCCGATGCTCTTGATCCGAGGACACGTGTGAAGCAGGGAAGTCCGCGCCGGCATCTCCGGGGACGAGCTGAGTTCTTGCTACCCTCCGGCCGGGCCAGACAGAACGCGGCACAGGAACGGCCGCCGTGGCCACACTGTGCTGCCGAACCCCGTGTCCGCGTCACAGGAGCTTGGCATGAAAATGCCCAGCTCTTACGAATTTCCGACCGCTTCCCAGTTGAGCAGGCTTCCACACCAGCCAGGGCCTCAATCCTGTGCTCCTGTTCAAGCCCCTGACTAAGCAGGCCACGTGGTGACGTCTGGCCACCTCCTACAGGCTCATTAAAGGGAGAGCAGCCTCATCAATGCCAGGCCCTGCGGCAGGTCCTCTTACGCCGCCCATCAGTACCGCACGGTCCAGGAACCAAGCAGGGGTCCCAGCCATCCAGAAGCTTCCGGACACTGAGGAAGGGTCCTCAGCCCCGGCCTTCGGGGAGCCCGTCTCTGTGAACAGCCAGAACCCCTTTCCTCCGCTAAGCGTGTTGCACCCCTTTGTCCACAGTCGTGTTCGGGCAGTTCGCCTACTTCCAGACGGCGCTGAGCGACGTGGCCGAGCTGTTCGACGGGACCCACCCGCAGGCCCGGCTCCTCAGCTCGCTCTCCGGCTCCCACTCCGGTAAGCCCAGAGAACTTTTATGCAGATGGTGTGCGACTCTTCCTAAACTCCGGGTGTGTGTGTGTGTGTGTGTGTGTGTGTGTGTGTGTGTGTGCGCGCGCGCGCGCAGAAACTTACTAATCCTTGAATGTGTTTGTTTATTTAGTAAAATTTTATTTTTGATAAAAAATGCCCAGTGGACCTTTATCCCATAGATAAAGCCGTTTGCTTTTATCATTGCATTTCCTAAGATCATAAAAAGTGTGATATCCATCTCCATGAAAGTGGGAAATGTCCAAGAGAAAGGAATAACAGGTGTTTTTTAACTTCTATTCTATGTTTTGGGATCTTCTTCCTGGAGCTAAACAGTATGAACATTTTGGTCTCACTCATTTGAACCCTGTAAATACCTAGGTATAGATCCACTACACCCACACGTCTTAAGAGTACATGTGTTTACCACATGCGTGCATGCACACATCGCTGTATGTGTGCATAAAAATATGGTTGGGCTTCATGAAACACAGGATATTATTTGTATTTTGTATTTTCACTTAAGAGGACATGTGGGGGTCTTCCCCATCAGACTGCGGGCAGCCACCGTCACTGGCCTTTGTTCCGAATGGATTGAGATGAATTTGTGAGGCAGGTGTGTTCACTGGACTGCATGGCCCGGCCTCCTTCTGAGGTATCGCCGTGTCCAGTGGCCCCAAATGTGGCCACCAAGGCCACGGCCTGGCGACTTTCAGTGCCCACTGTTGTTGGCCAAAGGCCCTGGGCCCTCACCTTAAGCATTTCTATCAACGCCCAGTGGGTGCCGTTGAGAACGCCATCAGAAGGTGCACATAGAAAATACGGGCACAGTTGAAACCCCATGCCCTCACGGGCCCCGCAGGGTGCTCTGAACCTGCACCCCAATCCAAAGGCGAGCATATATTTTGTGAGGTTTTTTATAAGTCCTTTCGATTTTTTAAATACCAGCCTAGGGTTCAGAGACATTTTGTTAAGTAAAACCTCGGTGAGAAATCCTCAAACGTGGTTGATTCTGCGTCAGTGACTGAGTCAGTTCTGATGTTTCCCACCCGATCGGCTGCCAGGCCCTGTCCCTGAGTTTTTCCGAATGAAAGCGGACCTGAGATCCCGATTAAAACAGCACCTCACGGGATGCACAGCAGTGCGTGACCATCCTCCGGGAAGCGGTGGGTTTGGGCTGCGAGCCCTGGAGTGAGGTCCAGGAGAATCCAAAGCCTGCGTGTCGCTGTCCAAGCAGAGGCCTTCTTTCTAAGACGTGGCCGTCCGCACGGCCGCGGGCATTGTGTGGCCGTCCGCACGGCAGCGGGCATTGTGTGGCCGTCCGCACGGCAGCGGGCATTGTGTGGCCGTCCGCACGGCCACGGGCATTGTGTGGATCTGTGCAGTGTCTGTTCTCCGCAGGCGAAACGCTGCCCTTGGCGACGTCCAATCAGATTCTGCTCCGATTCAGCGCAAAGAGCGGGGCGTCTGCCCGTGGCTTCCACTTCGTGTACCAAGGTAACCCTCAAAGTCACCCTGGCCGCCTCTGACCCCCAGACCTCTGTCTCCTGTGGAGGCACAGACAATGCCCTCTTCCATTTATTTTTGTTTAAGACGTGGAAGGCATTCATTTATCCTATATAATAAAAGCCTAGGTGGCATCACGCCCTCACATGATGTCATCACCAGATGGCCGCCACAAGATGGCTGGAAGGGGAGAGCAGTTGGGGGCAAATGGGCCAGCAGGGAAGGGCAGTTGTGGATTATCAGGCTGGCAGGGGAGGGCAGTTGGGTGCTTCCCGGCTGGCAGGGGAGGGCAGTTGGGGCGATCAGGCTGGCAGGGGAGCAGTTAGACATCAATCAGGCTGGCAGGGGAGCAGTTAGACATCAATCAGGTTGGCAGAGGAGTGTTAGGAGGCAATCAGGCTGGCAAGCAGAACCAGTTAGGGGCAATCAGGTAGGCATCCAGACACGTGGTTATGAGCCAGCAGTCCCGGATTGTGAGAGGGATGTCTGACTGCCGGTTTCGGCCCAATCCTACAGGGCCTAAACTGGCAGTTGGACATCCCCCAACAGGTTCCAGACTGGAGAGGATGCCGGCTGGGCTGAGGGAACACCCCCTGTGCACTGAATTTTGTGCACTGGGCCTCTAGTATATAATAAAAATATTTTATCAAAATATTAAAATTTTTAGTTTGACACCACTCCATTTCTACTGCAAAGACAAATGTCTCCTTATTCCTCTGGCCTGTGCAGGCAACAAATAGTGTTCAAATTACTTTTTCATAGCACCTCCTATTTGGCAAAAACAATTTCAACTGTATTTTAGTTTATCTAATTAAGAAAAATATTTCATACAAGTTAGATTTTAGTAACTTTTAAGGGAACACATAAAAAAAATACATGTCACGTTTCCAAATCGTATTGCAAAAGCTAACGAAAAGGCAGTTTAACAGAACCAGATAAGAAGTCCGTGTGTCTGTCCCTGTAAATAGCTACTTGGTTTTGTGTTCTGTTGCCGTTTGGATTCCCGCCTTTGTGTGTTTGTTCTTACACTTGGAGCTTGCCCACGTGTGGAATCGACATTTCCCGCCTCCCTGTCCCCTGTGTGTGAGGCTCACCTTGAGCTGGAAGCCCAGGGCCGGGTGGCTCTGCTGTGCACGGCCGCCCAGGGGCCCGGCAGAGGCTGTGGGGAGAGCTGTGCCTCCGACAGGAGCCCCCTCCTTCCCGGTCCCGGCTCTGCGCGGGCCGGAGCGCTGACACCGCTCCGGGAGGCTCTCTCAGGAGCCGGGTTCTCCAGCCGTGGCTCCTGCAGAAAACCGGTGACATCATCGGGGTTTTCAGAGAGTTTCAGAGAAGGACAGTCCATCCTGTCATTTACATCCTAGGCCAGTGGTCGGCAAACTCCTTAGTCAACAGAGCCAAACATCAACAGGACAACAATTGAAATTCCTTTTGAGAGCCACATTTTTTAAACGTAAACTTCTTCTAACTCCACTTCTTCAAAACAGACTCGCCCAGGCCGTGGTATGTTGTGGAAGAGCCACACCCAAGGGGCCAAAGAGCCGCAGGTGGCTCGCGGGACGCAGTTTGCCGACCACAGGACTAGGGAATCTCCCACTGTGAATCCCTGCCCTGCATGTGGGCAAAGCCCTGGGCACACGGGAATCCAGTGAAGGAGCAACTGCTGCCTTGGAAGCAGGCACTTAGTCTAATCCGGCGGGAGCCAGCCGGTGGTCTGTGGGCCCCTGGTGGTCCGTGAGGCCCGAAAGGTTGGTGGCCTCTGCCCTGCCTTTTGTTAGAACGTAAACAACTCACCTGGTGTTTAACAATGGACCTGAGTCAAAACCGGTTTTGCTCAGTGGATAGAGCATCGACCTGCAGACTGAAAGGTCCCAGGTTCGATTCTGGTCAAGGGCATGTACCTTGGTTGTGGGTACATCCCCAGTAGGAGGTGTGCAAAAGGCAGCTGATGGATGATTCTCTCTCATTGATGTTTCTAACTCTCTATCCCTCTCTCTTCCTCTCTGTAAAAAATCAATAAAATATATTTTTTTAAAAATAAATAAATAAAAGTGGACCTGAGGGGCGGTGGGCCAGTGTGGACAACTCACCACTCACCACTACACATTTCCTTAAAGGAAGTTCAATATCGCCTTTTGTGAGAGCAGATTTGCAAACTGGAGTCCCCTGGTGTGACATGCGAAGAACCTATCAGTTCAAGTACATTTTCATCTGGAAAATTTCAGGTTCCGGGCGCCGTCTGCCTGACTGCAGGCGCCTTTTGATTTTGTTAAATAGAGATTGGGAGCTCCATCAGATCACCATATAAAACACCCAAGGCTAATGTGAGTCCGGGGCTAAAATATTCAAACGCCACGCTTCAAAGCCATCATTCTTAAAATCAGCGCCTGTCTGAAGTAGCATATCCCCATTAAAATGAATAAACCACAGGAACGTGGACACCAAAGACCGCAATGTGCAGATGAATGCTTCTCCTTGTGCCTAAGGGCCCACAATGAGCCCAGCATCCCCAGTGTCCCCCAATCCCAGCCTTCCCTCTGGCCTGGCTGTGCTCCTCTGGGAGTGCACGCACCGATGGCCGTGTTTGCGATGGCCTTCGTGCGATGCGCCAGGACCGTGAGCTCAGACACAGGGCTCGGGTGCGGAGGAGATTTCCACGGGAACAGCCAGGTTGAACGTTGCCTCCAAAAGATCCCAGTTCTATGGAAGCCGGGAGGTCATGGGACCGTCATGGTATGAAAACATCCCGGACACGGCTCCCATGTGCCACGGCGGCACATCCTTCCTGTCGTTAAACCAAAATGCCACACGGGCCTGTCTCACATCCTCGGCCACGGTGTCTGAGCCCGGTTAGCGACAGGCCTGTTGGGAAGAGCGAGCTGGGAGGGGCGTCGGGGAGGAGCGTCGGGGAGGACTGGGTGCAGGGAGCGTGGACACAGCCAGCCTGCTGGGGGATGGGGGGGAGGAGAGGGGGAGGAATAAGCAGGGTGTCACTATCCCAGGACGGTCCTGGGAGAGATCGCTCTGAGCGATCCTTCATTCTTTATGTGTAGACGGTGTAAATTGCATGACTTCTCCCTTCCGACGGAAATGTAATTTTATCAGAATAACCGCCTGACTTTAATTCCTGTAAAACTGCTGCCGCACCGAAGTCGCCCACGTGGTGTCTGTCCCTTGGAGGTTCAGTGCCCACCAGGAGGTGTGTGCCGGGCAGAGCAGCGGAGAGGGGGTCACTGTTAATGCACGTCTGTCTGTGGACACGTCTCTCCGAGGGCTGTGCTTTTTAAAACTGTATTTTTCTTGGCTTCAGAGGGAAATGGAGGGGAGAATGAGAGAAACATCTGTGATGAGAGAGAATCATGGATCGGCTGTCTCCTGCACACCCACACTGGGGATCGAGCCCCCAACCCAGGCACATGTCTTGACCGGGAATTGAACCCTGACCTCCTGGTTCATAGGTCGATGCTCCGCCCCTGAGCCACGCCGGGCAGGGAAGCTCAGTTTCTCAGTGATCTCACCACGCGCACGGTGGTTCGTTTTAATCGCCTAAAGGCCCCGGAGATGCCGGGGCCCCACGGGGTCCACGGGGCGCGGGCGGACAGGGCCAGGCGGCCAGGCTGCGGACGGCGCCGTTAGCTTCTACGCCCTTGGTCCCGGGCCGATGCCCTCGCGTCCTCGGCGGGGCACCCACGCGCTGTGTCTCCGCCCCCAGCGGTCCCGCGCACCAGCGCCACCCAGTGCAGCTCGGTGCCCGAGCCCCGGCACGGCCGCCGCATTGGCTCCGAGTTCTCGGCGGGCTCCATCGTGCGGTTCGAGTGCAGCCCCGGGTACCTGCTGCAGGGGTCGGCCGCCCTGCGCTGCCAGGCAGTGCCCAACGCCCTCGCCCAGTGGAACGACACCGTCCCCAGCTGCGTGGGTAAGCGGGGTCCCGGGGCGGCGGCGGGGTGGCGGAGGCCGGCGCTGAAGGGCTGTTCGTCCCTGCCCTGCCGGCTCTTCGTCCACCTCCCTCCAGACGTGGCTCAGGGCAGTGTATGTGGGAAAGAACCGAGCAGCGGCAAACCCTGCAGGTTGTTCCTCCATGAAACAACTTATAGATGAACACGAGGAGGCACGTTTTCCTTCTCGATCCTTATTGCGACCCCACGGCTCCCCAGCCATGAGTATGCAGCATGCTTCACGTGGGGGAAATCATTAGACACTGATTTGTGTGATGCCCTTTCGTTTATTTAATACAGGCCCAGTGCACGGATTCGTGCATGGGTGAGTTCCCCCGGCCTGGCTGGCGGTCAGGGCTGTCTCACCTTGTCCCAATCGGGGCCGATCAGGGCCGGCCATCCAGGAGGAGGCACCATGGGAGGTTGGCTGTGGGAGCACACTGACCACCACGAGCAGTTCCTGTGTTGAGCGTCTGCCCCCTGGTGGTCAGTGCACATCATAGCGAATGGTTGACTGGTCATTCAGTTGACCAGTCATAAAGGTCGCTTAGGCTTTTATATATATAAATTTTTTTTAAAAGAATACCTTTATTGATTTCAGAGAGGGAGAGAGAGAGAGAGAAAGAGAAACATCCATGATGAGAGAGAATCACTGATAGGCTTCCCTCCTGCCCACCCCCACTGGGGATCAAGCCTGCAACCTGGGCATGTGCCCTGACGGGAAATCAAACCATGACCTCTTGGTTCATAGGTCGACACTAAACCACTGAGCCGCACCAGCCCGGCTGTAATGCCCTTTTAGGCAGTGTGTGCTGATGAGGATGCAAACTATGACAGGCTGAGGCAGCCCGAGTGGCGACCACACTGCTGGTTGTAGTTCACTTGCCTCCACACAGCGTGATTGCTGCTTTAAGTCATTTGTATGTTTGCAGCGTCCCCTCCCCTCCCTGGACCTGCTCAGAGACGGCGTTAGCATGGCTGGGAGTTAGCATGGCTGGGAGTTAGCATGGCTGGGAGTTAGCTGCAGGAAACAGCTGATCCATGGTTCTCTCCTCATTGATGTTTCTCTCTCTCGCCCTGGGCCTTCCTCTCTGAAATCAATAAAAATATGTTGTTAAAAATGCTACTTAGGGCATTGCAGTCCAGGTGGAAGTTCTCTTAATGGTGATCGCGGGGGAAGAGAAGGCTCTGCAGGGTGGGTGCGGCGCCCTGACTGCCCGCTGCCCCCTCCCCGTGCCCGCAGTGCCCTGCAGCGGCAGCTTCACACAGCGCAGGGGCACGGTCCTGTCCCCCGGCTTCCCGGAGCCCTACGGCAACAACCTCAACTGCGTCTGGAGGATCCTGGTGGCCGAGGGCTCGGGCATCCAGGTGGGTGCTCCCCGGCGCCTCTCTCACCCCGTGTGCTGGTGGGTCAGACCCATGAGCCATAGCTGGTGTCTCCCTTCCTGCCTTTCTACGGAGGCTCTGTAGTCACGTCTCTGTGTTTGAAATTAAAACAGTAGATTCTCGCCGCACTGACATTGTAGGAAAGAACCGAGAAGCAAACCCCACAGAGCATCCATGTGTGAAACCCCTGCCCTGAACACGTCGGGACACGTGGTCCTTGCTACGTGGGCGGCCACTTCAGTAGCAGCCACGGCCCACGGCGGGCCCTGGGGAAGTGCCGGCCCTTCCCGCGGCTTGTTCTCGGCTCCGCCTTCCTCTTCGTCCACATTTAGTTTCATGAAAGCCTCGAGGGCGTGGGCGGGTCTTTACACGGAAGACACACGCTAACCCCACGCTGCCTGTGGCAGATCCAGGTCATCAGCTTCGCCACGGAGCAGAACTGGGACTCTCTGGAGATCTACGACGGCGGGGACACCACGGCGCCCAGGCTGGGCAGCTTCTCAGGTGAGACGCGGTCCGGTCTCTGGGGGTCGGGTCCTCGGCGGGCACGGCCACGGAGCCTGGCCCCGCAGCCGGCCGGGCAGAGGGGCTCTCTGGTGGGCAGCCTCGGCCTCAGAGCCACATGGCCCCTGCGGGAGGAGAAGGCCTCCTCGGTGAGCTGCTGGCCTCGCCCTCCTGGTTCCCCTGCTGAACGTGAGGGCGTGGCCACAGCAGCCGGTCCTGCGGGGCAGGCTCACTGCAGGCGAGGGGCTGAGACTTGGGATCCCAAGTGGCCGACCTTCCTCCCTGTGGTGGTGAGGGTCTGGCTCAGGGAGGGACGGATGGGTGGGCTGGTCTGTCGGGGTCGGGGAGACTTGTGGGAGCTGGGACACAGTGAATCGACAGAGGGGTACACAGTCACCCCCACAGCACTGACCCCCGGCTCCCAGCCCTGGCCCTGCAGGAGCCCGTGCTGCTCGGGACCCTGCCCCCGGGCTCAGGCAGGAAAGAACCCGGAGGAAGGACCCGGAGGGCACTGCCCACGAGGAGAGGCAGGACCACGCTGAGGGCAGCGAGAAGCTGAGCCCAGGAGGGGCATCCTTCTAGGGGTTCAGGGAGCAGCTGGCTGCTGCCGGCGGGGGGCGGGGTGCTGATGTCCTGGGGAAGGAGACGGGGGCGGCCAGGAGGGCGGGCTGCCCGGGGAGATGGACCCACTCAGCAGGTGTGCCGCCAGGCCCGGTGCTCAGGCCACGCAGCTCGGGCAGGTGATGCTCGGTCAGATGCGCTGGGTCTGTCATCAGCTGCGGGTCTTTCTGCAAACGTCACCCCCAAATCCACACACGTTGCGGGGTGAGGGGCAGCCGACGCCACCCGTGGGACAAAGGCGGGTGAAACGGGTCTGGGGCCTCTCTCCTTCCTTTGTTGTTGTGACTCCTGACCTGAGGGTATTTTCTCGTTGATTTTTTTGAGAAAGGGGAAGAGAGAGGGAAAGACAGAGAGAAACATGTGAGAAAGACACATTGATTGGTTGCCTACTGCACGGCCCCAACCAGAGCTTGGGATCAAGCCTACAACCCAGGTACATGCCCTTGACCGGAATCGAACCCAGGACCCTTCCATCCATGGGCTGACGCTCTAACCATTGAACCAGACTGGCCAGGGCTGTGTCTCTTTCTTGTGCTGATGTGGAATGGGGTCCTGAGCTGGGCCACGTGGGGTGCAGCCAGTCCTCCCGGGCTCCTCTCTCTCCCCTTCTCTGAGACGCACTGAGGCCCGGACGGTGCCCCCACGCTGGCTGCCCGGCCAGCAAGGTGCCCAGATGGAGCCTGGGGCGGGAGGGGATTCCTCAGAAGGACCCTTGGCCTCTTGAGAAACAGGCCGGATCACCCCACTTTACAGGCAGGGAAACGTTACATAACTGAGCCTGTGTTTTCCCCTTCGCACGTGTTTGTCTGAAACCCGCCCTCTCTCCCAGGGCACGGCCCGTCCCCGGGACACTCACCTCACTACACGAGCTCTCTGCTGTGTCCCAGGGGAAAACAGAGGGCATATTGTTAGAGGGGAGTCGTGTGAGAGCCCCGTGCCCATGAAATGTGAGAATGTGTGTTCCTTCTTAAAAATGTATGTTTTTATGGATGTCAGAGAGGAGGGAGAGAGAGAGAGAGAGAGAGAGAGATGCATCCATGATGAGAGAGAATCATGGATCGGCTGCCTCCTGCACGCCCCCACTGGGGATCCAGCCCACAGCCCTGGCCTGTGTCCTGACCGGGAATTGAACCCTGACCTGCTGGTTCGTAACTCAATGCTCAACCACAGAGGCACATCGGCCAGGCCAGCACGTGTGTGCTGAGCCTGAGCTGCAGACGGAGGGGCTGAGGAGGGCGGAGAACACGTGTGACTGTCCCTGCCTCCGGGAAAGGGCGGGCTCCACATGGGAAGAGGGAAACCGAGGCTCCGTGTGGACTGGGGGTCAGGCAGCCTGGGCTGTACGTGCAAACAGAGCTCCCCACGCCCGGCCGGCGTGGCTGGGGGGTGAGCACGGAGCCGGACCCAGGAGGTCAGGGTTCATTCCCCGTCCGGGCACAGGCCCGGGCTGCGGGCCCCATCCCCAGTAGGGGGCATGCAAGAAGCAGCAATCTTCTTTCATCCTTGATGCCTCTCTCTCTCTCATTCTCCCTTCCTCTCTGTCTTCCATAAAAACATGTTTTTAAAACCCACAACCCCAGCCCCCACGTGTTTACCTCCGGGAACAGGCTGCGTGTGTGATGCTCAGGGCTGCCCGCCTTCCTTCCAGGGACCACCGTGCCCGCCCTGCTCAACAGCTCATCCAACCAGCTTTACCTGCACTTCCAGTCCGACATCAGTGTGGCCGCCGCCGGCTTCCACCTGGAGTACAAAAGTAAGGCCCCCAGCGCCTGCTCCTGCCCTGACACCTGCCCCCGCCCGGGCACCCGCCCCCACCCAGCACCTGCCCCTGCCTGCACACCCATCCCCCCCCAGCACCTGCCCCCACCCAGGCACCCGCCCTCACCCAGGCACCTGCCCCCGCCCGGGCACCCGCCCCCACCCAGCACCTGCCCCTGCCTGCACACCCACCCCACCCCAGCACCTGCCCCTGCCTGCACACCCATCCCTACCCCAGCACCCGCCCCTGCCCCGGCACCTGCCCCCGCCCCTACACCCACCCCACCCCGGCACCCGCCCCCACCCAGCACCTGCCCCTGCCTGCACACCCACCCCACCCCGGCACCCACCCCCACCCAGCACCTGTTCCTGACCCCTCCCTCCCCCCCGCTCCTGCCCCCGTTGCCCAGCTGGGGAATGCCTTTCAGGGGAAATGAGCCCCGCCCTTACTCTGCAGTGGGGAACTCTCCTTCATCTGCGCTCCAAGGGAGTGACGTGGAGCTGTGCCGACTTTCAGAACTAGATGTGACAAAAGACAAATGACCGGGGTCGTGGTGGGAGTGCGGGATAACCAGGTGAAACAGCAGCTCCGTTCTGGCTGTGGGCACTCACAGGCATGAACAGTAACCTCTGCCACAGCCCTTCCCCTGTGATAGCGCTGCTCCGAGCCCAGGCCACCGGCTGCCGTTCCGGCTCCGCGGCTGTGAGGGGGCCCAGAGCCGCCCTCCGCGCCTGCACCGGGCATTTCTCATTTTAATTGGGAGAACGGATGGCGGAAGAGCTGCTAACCTTTTAAAAATGGATGTGCAGCTGAGTTAATAGTCCGCTAAGCAGATGACAAAGGGCAGCGTCACAAATCGCAGGGTGGGGGTGACGCAGGCACCTGGGAAGAGCGAGCGCGGGAGTGTTTCTGACGAGCGAGGTTTACTCTCGGACCCGCGTCCCCCTCCGAACCTGCCTAAGGCGCTCATCCGTCTCCCCGGCGAGCAGCGGGAGCAGGCGGCGGTGCTGAGCGCAGGCCGCGGTCTGGGGCCCAGATAAACAGCGTGCGGGACGCAGTGGCACATGTTCTCCCGAAGGCCAGGCCGGCGGACGATGGTCTTCTGCCGCAGACGCCCACCGCGCCCGGGCGCTGTCACCCCCTGGAATCCCCTGCGTGTGCTCGGCATGCGTGTGCAGGTTTCTTCCCGCGTGTGAGAGAGGACTGCCTTGGCGGCAGTGTGAACTGGCGCCGTGGGTGCTATCTGTGGAGAACGTGTCTGAGAAATCTGCTGCTTGGGTACATCCTGCGCCTGTGAGCGTGGGGAAGCATGAGCCTTACTTATGGCGGAGTTAATACACCGGTAAGATCTTCACAAGCGTCAGAAGCCAGGAGTCCTCTCCTCTTTGCCTCTCAAGGTTGTTATCTCGTTTTCTGGCGTGTCCGTCGCTTCGGACGGACGGGGGTGCGAGCGGAATAATAACCCACAACCAGCACGGAGTGTGCTAGCCCTGGGCTTGCTGCTCACCTCACCATCGTCTCCCTTCCCTGAGTTCCCGGCCAGTGTGCTTCCTTAGAATAGAGAGAGAGATTTCTCACAGATGTGGCTCTTGTTCAAGGATCTGAGGCCTTATTGGATTGCTTCATGTATTTACTTATTTTTTTAATTTGGCCAAACGTAACGCCATGTTTCTGGTTGGTGGTGGTGTTGGTGGTGGTGGTTGTCTTGGTGAGTCCTTGCAAATGCTGTCGCCATTCTGCTAGCGCCTGCCCTTCCTTGTCTCCGGATCTCCAGACCTCTCTCTGCTGCAGATCTCTCAGCCGGGTCAGCGTGTGTGTGTGTTCTGTAAAGTGGACCTGGGACTAGGTCAGCACAGCCCGGGGAGCGGATGGTGGAGGAAGCTGCCGAGAGAGCATCCTGGAAGGACGGGGAAAGCCTCTCTTTTTCCTAGCCTCGGCCTTCCTCAGTTTATGAGAAGCACCTGGTAATCAAACATGGCGACGTGGTCTCAACAAACACCCCTCTGTTCAACCTGAGGGACAAGATAGCTGCTCTCAAGGCTACAATCTTGCCAGGCCTCCTCCCTGCTGTTTCCACATCTCAGAAGCCTCTAGTTAGCAAGTTCCCATCCTCATCCCCTTCAAACAGGGGAATTGTTGAATTATTCATCGTTTTTGCTCTGAGGGTGTTTCGCAGGCTTGGGGGGAAATACTGATAAGATACTTCCGAGGACGTGTGCAGGACTGTCAAAAAAAAAAAAAAATCAACACTTCAGCCCTAACTCCTCCTCCCGCCCTTGTCACTTAGCAACAGCCAAGGCTCAAACGGGGAAGCTGCCCTGTTGCCTTAAGTTGATTAGCCACGCGTGGCCCTTTCCCTTCGTGGGAAGTAAAATGAACTTCCTCTCTGTCTCCTCTTTCCGTTGTGAATTCTTCCACAGCCAAACCCCAACACATCCGCTATTGGTAATCTGTTGACATAGTTCTGCATCTTCCTTGAAATGTGTATGGCCAACCGGCAAGTTTCCAAACTCAGACTCTTCACTAAGCAGAGCCGTGAAATAGTAATAAAACCACCAGCAAGCACGAGCTCTGTGCCAGGTCTAAGTGTGTCAGTGCGGTTTGCGTCTGTCCTGTTATGGAGGTGTTCTCAGCTTTCAGAGGAGACGGAGCAGAATGTGGGGTGTGCTCTGTGGCCCAGGTCTTGGTCACCCTCCTGATAAGTGCCGGAGAGATGGACACAGATGTACCTCTTCATGAGGTGTCCACACATGATCACGGGTGTGTGGCCCCCAGCTGTCCTATGGCAGTGACAATGACAAGTGCCCCAACACTGGGTGGTATGTGGCAGGTCCAAGAGCCTGGGGGTCTGACCAGACCCCGCCCACCCATGCACGAATTCATGCACCAGGCCTCTAAAATATAGGGGTGTGTGTACTCTAAAATATATGTGTGTGTGTGTGTGTGTGTCTGAGTGTGAGTGTGTGTGCGTGTATATATATATATATATATATATATATATATATATATATATATATATATATAGAGAGAGAGAGAGAGAGAGAGAGAGAGAGAGAAAGGGGCCAGATTATTATGCGTTCACAGATCATAATAATCTGGCCACTCAGTCAGTGTATATTGACACATTATATTAAGAATATACTGCTGCCCTAGCTGGTTTGGCTCAATGGACAGAGCAATGGCCTGTGGACTGAAAGATCCCAGGTTCCATTTCAGCCAAGGGCACATGCCTGGATTGCGGGCTTGATTCCCAGTGGGGGGTATGCAGGAGGCAGCCAATCAATGATGCTCTCTCATCATCAATGTTTCTCTCTCCCTCTCCCTTCCTCTCCGAAATCAATAAAAATATGTTTAAAATAAGAAAGAATATACTGCTTTTCTCCGGGCCCGTGTGGCTCAGTGGGTTGGCGCGTCATCCTATTCACCAAAAGGTGATGGGTGTGATTCCCGGCCGGGGCACAGGCCCAGGGTGTGGGCTGAAACCTCCGTCGGGTGCTTGTAGGAGGCAACCGAAACAGGCCGCTGTTTCCCTCTCACATCGACGTCTTTCTCTCTCTCTCCCTCCGTCTCTCTCCCTCTCGCTCCCATCAATGTGAGGTATCGCCTACGCCATGTGTGTAGCACTGACAAGCGTTCGCTGATCCCAGGGGGATTTGGTGGAAGAGCCGCTAATGAGATTAAACATATGGGTTCTGTTGACTCCTTCCATTTTTCCTAATTCTGTTCTCCGGATTTTTCCCTCTTTTCCTGCCAGCTTTGGTTTAATTGAGTCTTATTATTGCTCCAATCTATCTCCGGAATGGGCTCATTGGATAAAACTATTTAAAACTTTAATGGTCTCTCTAGAATTTAAAATACGCGTCATCAATACAGCCCAGCCTACCTCCAAACGATACTCTGTCACTTTGTGAATATTATAAGAACCTAAAAGGCACATACGCTCCATTCCTTTTTCCTTCCTTTATGGCATTCTTACTTTACCTTTTCTTTTTACTTGATATAAAACCCACAACATGTTTTAACCACTTTCGCTGTGCATAGTCAACATTCTTTAGAGTAATCAACACTGAGGAAAGACGTTTCTAGCTGCCTTTATTGTAATGTCTGTACAGCTTTTGATTTCTTTGGGGAGCCCGGTCTCTGTTTGAAGTTTTTCTGTCTGGAGAACTTCCTGGGACATTTCCCATGGGTCAGGTCCACGGACCTGGGTGCTTCCACCCTCTGGGTTTTTCGGAGGGAGGGGCTGGGCACAGGGGCCTGGGCGGAAGAGTCCGGTTTGTGCATGTCAGCGAGGCCTCCCCACGGGATTCTCATTGCGGTTTCTAAGGTCCACTGGCCTTTCTTAGGCGCTTGTTCCTGCTCTGCCTTCCTTCAGGCTTTCTTTTAGCTTGTACTTTCACAGGTGGACTAGACGGTGTCTAGGTGTGCGTATGTGCTGTGTGTGTGAGTGTGTGTGAGTGTGTGAGTGTGTGAGTGTGTGAGTGTGTGAGTGAGTGTGTGAGTGTATGTGTGAGTGTGTGAGTGTGTGTGTGAGTGTGAGTTTGTGAGTGTGTGTATGTGTGTGAGTGTGTGTGACTGTGTGTTTGTGTGTGAGTGTATGTGTTTGTGTGTGTGTGTGAGTGAGTGTGTGAGTGTGTGTGAGTGTGTGAGTGAGTGTGTGTGTGAGTGAGTAAGTGAGAGTGTGTGTGTGAGTGTGAGTGTATGTGTTTGTGTGTGTGTGTGAGTGAGTGTGTGTGAGTGTGTGAGTGAGTGTGTGTGTGAGTGTGTGAGTGAGTGTGTGAGTGTATGTGTGAGTGTGAGTTTGTGAGTGTGTGTGTGAGTGTGAGTGTGTGTGTGAGTGTGAGTGTGAGTGAGTGAGAGTGTGTGTGTGAGTGTGAGTGTGTGTGTGAGTGTGAGTGTGAGTGAGTGAGAGTGTGCATACGCGGTATTCACCAGCTGGGGGCATGCTGCATCCTGGGTCTGTGGTCGGTAGGTGTGTGGTCGGTAGGGACGGC